ATGGATGGATGGATTTGTAATTTACTCTATTTTACTTGAGAAAGTAGAAAAAAGTTTCGATATGTAAATTATTTATATGGCTAATACTCTCAAACTTTAGTATATTCTAGCGTAGTTTAGCCAATAAGTGTTTGCTTGAAAATTTTATTTTATTTTATTTATTTATTTATTTATTTTACAATTTTCTGTTTAATCATTTCAGCAAGTAGCTAAAATTTCCCAAATTTCTTTTACAGCAAACAAAATCTCTTTGCAAGCTTTGATTTCCCCCCCCCAGCAGCTCCTTTGAAGCTGTTAACATGAATAAAACAATCTGTACTGCAACTGCAAGAAGTGAAACACTTGGGACGCACAGAAAAGGAGAGATAATCAATATAGGCTTTAAAACTGACAGCAAACTGTTGATTGACCGTTCAGCAGTCGCATTTCAACTGTGATCAACCTTAGCCCATATATTAGTCATCATTCTTCAGTCAACAAAACAGTAGGAGAGAAATGCTGACAGTAAAGACCCGTACTGTGATGTTTGTCCCACAAATGAGTGTCTGCATTAGAGGAAAAAAAAGCCACTTCCTTCCCGTCATGATTTCTCCCCAAGCGGCATGTCGGTTTCCACCAATCAGAGCGCGTTTTGCTTTCCTCTCAGCCAATAGGAGGCCTGGAGGCTCTCAGTGTGTCGGTGGGTGTGATCCCAGAGGAGGAAGCGTCACCGAGCACTGCAACAAAGTTTTAAGGTAAGTTTGTGCCGACTTTAACCAAGTTTTACTTCACAGCAAAACCAAGCAACAACAGGTTAGAAACCGCGTGTGTCTGCCGCCGCGTCTTTTAGCGGCTTTGGGAACTCTTCAGCGGTGGTGTTCGGTCGCAGAGTGAGCGAAGTTTTACGGCAGTTGTATCTACTGTACGTGAGGTTTCCAGCACGAGCTGCTCTCTCAGAAATTCCAACCACTGACGTCCTGTATGTTCATCCTTTCAACTAAAAAAAAACGCCCTGAGATTTTAAAACAGACGGTTTCTGTCTCCGTTTGACTGACTCAAACTACAGTTGTTGAATTCTTGATAAAAGTTTACACTTTGCGGCAGGTAGCTAGCTAACCTCTAGCCCCGAAATTCACCTGTACGTGCACGTCTAGGTCGCGTAGCAACCACCTCTTTAGCTAGCACAGCTGTTAAAACTGTAGCTACGTTTGGCACTGACATTAAAACAACGTTAAAATTCAAGCATAATCTGAGACTTACTATTACAATCAGTACTGCTTTCTGCTGAGGCAACTTTAAACAGAGTTAATAAGCTGCAAATAATATTAATATTATTAGTAGAACATGTGAAAACCTGAGTACCTACTGATGGTTCACCTGCATTCATTATGATTGAGCGGAAATCATATTATCAACTAAACGTTTCATTTAAACATGACACACTGATGCAAAGTATTCAAGCAGTAGACTTTCTTGACTTATTAACATTTCACATTTTGAATTTTTCAGGCATATTAATAGCTAGACTCAATGTATAGGTTCATAAATCATTATACCATAATAAGCCTGCGTATGCAAATGTTGATTAGCAGTTTAGAAATTAATTTAGGTCCTTTTTGAGAAAATTAGCAGTCAAACAGTGCATTGGATAGTCATAGGCATCTCTAATGAACGGAATAAATGAGTGTGAAAGATGTGTAATGCTGACAATCTGATAAAAATTTTATCTTTTTGATGGCATGTAGCTGAAACGAAACTATAGCCTTAGTAAATTAATTGCTCATCATTAATATATCTGTTACAGTTTCGAAAATGTTTATTAATTTGCCTTACCAGAAAATGGTACCAAAAAAGTCTTATCTCCAGAAATACTGCAAAACAAAACTCAGCAGTAACTGGATAGCTCTATCTTGTGTATGTATATTATACACAAGATATATGTACATTAAACTACTGATCACTGTATTTGCTTTTCTTGCTCATACTGGCTGTAAAGAGATTCCTTCTGAACTTGTAAGCAGCAGGAGACAAAATACACAACATCTTTCAGTTACTGTACTGTTGAGGAAAATCTCTCTCTAATATGCAGCTCAGCAAAGAAGCAAGTCAAAGTGAATCTGAAATTAAAAACACAGTAGGTTTATGACTTTTGGAAATAATGACTCAGTAAATACCTTAACCAAAGGACACTCTTGTTTGTCAGGCACTTGGTGTTGTATAATTCAGACATAAAAAGAGTAGAGATGTAATCACTCAGAATAACTGGAAGCACCTGGTGTGTCGTACCTGCACATTTAGTTTACATTTCGACAAAGTGTGCAACACATTTGACATGTTTGGGTTCACAGCTATAAGCTTTGCTGTAAACACAAGGTTTTATTTTAGAGGAAAGCTGTGTGTATTTGCCAATAAATTGCGAGGATATGAGGGCTGAGTAAACGATTCATTACTCTTGAAAGTCTGTTATGAGTATATTTATTTATTTATGGATTGATGGACGGAGTGATGTTTATTTTGATGATTGATAAATGTGAGATGAATCATTTCATGGGTGTTCTTATCTCTGAATGGGCCTTTTTGGGGAGATAGACCCACATAAAGTACAGATAATGAATTTTTTTATTTATTTTTTAAAATTTTGTGCTGGTAATTTTTCTTCAACATCTGTTTAGGGGGTTCTTTGAATGTTTTGGGGGGGTGCCAAAAAAATCATACCTGAAAACATCTGAATTTATGACATTTTCTAGACTAAATGATTTGTTAACAAAAAATAACAGATTAACTGACACCAACAAAGTCCTAGTTGTAGTGCTCTAATTTATTTCATTTCATTGTACTGTATAGTTTATTTCAAGCCATCGTCCTCAGGTCTGCTTAGTATACATCTGGAGGTCTAAAGCACTGACGACAACAATTCAAAACAAACGGAAACAAGGTCAACTTGCACTATCATGAAGAGAATAAATTAGTCATTTGTGGAAGCACGTTCAGGGCTCCAGACTAACTTTTTCCACTGGTAGCACTCGTGCGACCAGCTTTCTCATTTGGTCGCACCTCCCACCTTGTCACAGGCAAAACATATGACTTGCTGAACTATTTCTCATTGATAGGCTCTACAGTTTACCGATGTTCCCTAAATTCCCCACATTGCAGGCTGCAGTGTTCTCAGGCTGGTGTGTGACCAAGAATTACTTTGATAAGAGTAAACGAGGGCGTTCTAATGTCACATTTGTTCAAGATGAAACTGAGTGATTTTTTTCTAGAATTGGGGTTTTCGACGAGCGGAAAAAACACATTTAGGTTTTCATGAGAAGACCACGTTTCTATGCGTAAATACTGCAGTACACCAAAGTTATAAAAGTACTGCTTGTCACCACTGTGGTTACCACAGTAGCTGCTGGTTACAGTGACACTAATACAGCTTCATGATCGTCATGCACCGTCACCAATGTGACCAGCTGAAATTTTTAACTCGCTCACTCGCAAGTGCGCAGTCTGGAGCCCTGATGTTTTGAATCAATATTTTGTTACCTACACATCAGACTAGCTGTCCAGGGAATACTAGAGGTTGCCTTTTGGCAGCAAAAGATAAATGATATATTTTAAGCTCCTGATGATCACTTAATCCTCATACAGCTGGTCAACTAATCTCACAGTATACTTCCAGAGTACCGGTAGATAGGATGGCATATAATTACATACTGGCTAAGTTGTGGACATTCCTGTAGACCCAGTCAGCAAGCATACTGTGTATTAGTGAAATATAAGGACATTCATATAATCCAGCTCAGAGGATGCTCTTTCCACGCATAGCGCTCCCCGTCAGGGCGCATGGAGACAGCACCAAGAGAGCGAGCAGGCTTCGGTGGTTCATGCAGAGTACAGGAGTTAGGGGCTGGACTGGGGGAGGGGAGGAGTGAGATTAAACATGTTTTTATGTAATGAGGGTTTCAAAAGGAGGCTCGGGTAAAAAGGATAAGGTGGAGTGAGGCCACAATAACCATTGAACACTAGAACAGCAGTTTTTAGCTGTCACTGGCCCAGGCACCTGTTTGGGTAGAGGTGGTTGGAAACTGTAGCTTCTCCCTGCACAGGCAGATGTGTAATTACCAGTTGATCAGAAGCTCAAAAATAGACATCAGTACAGTTGTGCAAGTGAGCTTGTATATTTTTTATCACCACATTTGTTTTATTCATATCATAAAGGGATTATTTTGTTTTTAAAAAATCAGACAAATGGGTTAATTTATGTCAAAAATGTTTCAGAAAATAGTCAAAAATGCAGAACGCAATTTTCCAGAGCCCACTACGTTATCATAGAGAAACTTCTGATACATTGAAATTCTGAAGACAGAAACCAGAGAAAAATACTAAATGAAATGGTTTGCAAACCTTTAAACCTGGGCTTGGTTCCACAAAGCTTTACACTGTGTGTCTTATTCACACTCACACACCAGTGGGAGCAACATGGGGGCACTTTGGCACATGGAGGGGCAGGTGATTAAACTGACAATCTTACAATTATCTAGTTTGTTATGTTACCATATAATCTAACAAGTTTGAGTTTTAAGGTTTACAAATTCATATGCATGAGGAAACTCGACATCCCCGGAGGACAGAGAGGACTAAAAAACTGCAAAAATAAATGCTCCTTTGGATTAGTAAATGCTAGAGATCTTCACTTTTTGCCTGTTTCATTCAAACTTAAAGCTCCTCCTCTTCAGTTTCATGGGATTCTTCATACAGGAAGCACAGATATACTTAATGAGAAACTATCTCGGCCTTAACTCACTGTTGTCATGTGCTGTAACTCTGAAAAGGAACTTTACTGTTTGTCTCAACTATATGCACAGAGAATGGCGGACAAGGCTGTGGATGGAGGGCCATGGACGGGATGTGCGGTCATGTTTCTGCAGTCGCTGTGGCCCGGTGTAAATCTGCTCTCACTCTACAAAGACCAACAGGGAAAATTCATCGTTTTCAAAGTCATCAAGCTGACACTTACAGGTGAACACTCTTGATTGGATCTATTTCACATTTCTATCACTGTACACTAATTACCATAGAAGAAACCTTTTCTGGGATGCCACATCCATTAATCAGTGTTTCCCATGGTCAGACTCTGCAGGAGGTCTGGGTGGTTATGAAATCCTAAAGGTCCATGACGCTGATCCCTTCCTGGGGGTGGAGGTGAAATTTGTGGATGTGGCAGCATGTCAGCAGTTCCTGGAGAGCTACAGCTCAGGAGCCGTGCGTCAGTCTTTCTCCCAACACGCCTGCCGGCTTCTTGCTCTGCCCCAAGAGTTCAGCGTGGAAACCCAGCTCAAAGCCAGCACACACATCCTGGATCTGTGCCTGGACAAGCTGGATCTTTGCCTGCAGCACATCAACCTCTCACAGGTGCACTTGATGTTTGTGTTTGGCTGTTTATTGATTTTAAATGGAGCTGCAGTATTTAAAATTTCAGGTGACAGGTCCTTGGCTGACGTTGTGTCACGTTAGGTGATTCTGTTTCGGTCTAACCAGTCACTATTAAGTGACAAATGTTGCAGCTGCAGTTAACATTTTCCCGTTGATCAAGGAAATAAGAGAATTTTAGAGTTATTGCTGTAGGTTGGCTTAGAACAATCTGTACATCTGCGCCTCATCTCATCCACACCTGCTGTTTTGTTTTATGCCTCTGTGTGGACAACAGCTGTGGCCGGAGGCTTGCTGCTTTCAGGTTGTCCATCCATCCTTTTGTACATCCATCCCATTCTCGGGGATGCAATATCTCAGGAACACCTCAAGGGAATTTCTTCAAATTTGGCACAAAAATCCACTTAAGAATGAAAGTGCTCAGATTTTGATGGTCAGAGGCCGTGGTCACTGACCTTGTACGACATATTTTTGGCCATAACTCAAGAATCCATGTGCTAATTATGACTAAATTTCACACAAAGGTCCTGTAGGATAAAATGATTAAGTGGTGACATGTTACATCCAAAAGGTCAAAGGTTAGCTTCACTTCATAATATCCTGCACTTTTCTGCCCATCAGACAACCCCATAACTCAAGAACAAAAGGAGAAATGAATGTAAAGCTGCTACATGACTGAGTGGCGAGAGCATGCAACTGTGAGGTGGTAACTGTAGTTCATGAACATACCTGGTTGCAAGCTAAATGTGAAGATAATGCCCCTTTTCTGAATCCAGTTGTTTCTGTTTGAATGAGCTTCACAAAACTGTGCCAGCAGTGCGCTTCTTGCAAAGCATACGTGGCATGAATGGCACGTGTACTGTGCAGCGAATAGAAGAGAAGTGGAAACCACACCCAGCAATGCAAACTGGCACTGTGCTGGTTCCGATTTGGAGCGTACCCCATCAGCATGTCTGGAATGTAAACAGGCGTTCAGACGTCTTGAAACCAGGGTAGTTGGTACCAGCCTTCACCAGTTGAAGCTAAATTCAAGTTTTTTTTGCCTTAGTGTTGAAGCTACGTAAAAACTATTTCATTTCTAAATAAAGGCAAAAAGCCCCCAAAAATATTTTTAACAACAAAACAACTTCATTATCATTGTAGCTGTTCCTGAAAGCGAAGCCTGCTCTGCTGTGAACACATGAGTCTAAATTTCAGTTATTTCAGTTTAAGTCTCACAACCATGCCACCTGATGTTCACTGTGGTTGTTGGCATGCTTGACTGATGGAAAATTACCGACAGTATAAAGGTCAATACCAACCACCAAGTTTCAAACAGACTCCCACACACTGTCTAACTTGCAAATATATATTTCTTAGTGAGGTTTTGGTGTTAGACCAGGCAAATAGTGACAAATCAGCACCGAAGCGTCCAGAATCCATCTGACCTCTGACCTGTTGACTGTGTTCATCTATATATGAAATAATGCTGCATGGATTCTAGAGGCTTCGATGCTGACTGTATGTATATGTTATACTGGATGAAATGTATTATTGAGATGATTCATTATTGATGTTTACCTTTCTTTTTTTTTCAATTATCTTTTTATTTGCTTTTCAAACATGTAGAACAAAACAGAGGGAGGTCAAACATAAAATGGGAAACAGAAAGCAAAAAGAGAGGAGAAGATTAAAGTGGATTCAAGAGAAAATGAAAAACAAACAACGAAAAATGAAGAAATAAATGAATATTTACGGGGCTGCAAGGTGGAGCAGTTGGTAGCATCGTTGCCTCGCAGCAAGAAGGTTGCCGGTTCACGTCCTGGTGGGGGAACTGGGATCCTTCTGTGTGGAGTTTGCATGTTCTCCCCGTGCAGTGTGGGTTCTCTTCAGGTTCTCCGGCTTCCTTTCACAAGTCCAAAAACATGTTGAGGTTAATTGGTGATTCTAAATTGTCCGAAGGTGTGAATGTTGTTTGTCTCTAAGTGTAGCCCTGCGATAGACTGGCGACCTGTCCGACCTGCCCTCGCCATAAGTCAGCTGGGATAGACTGCAGCCCCCCCTGCGACCCTAGTGAGGATTAAGTGTGTAGATGATGGATGGCTGGATAAGTAATTACAATGGCAGAAAATGAGACGGGTGTTTACCTTTCTTCTTTGCTATATTGAATGTTATCTACTTAGGTTAGTTATTTTTTTATGAACTTTCTTCATGATAGTTGCAGTTTAGTGTAAATGCAAAGTAAATAATATTTGGCTTATATTTCTGATTTTCCTTCCTGTGTGTTATTGAAGGTTGTCGTTCAGTGGAAGGATATTTTGTAATTCATGCCTTCCTGCAGTATGTGAAGTAAGTTCATTGGCTGCAGAATTACAGCCACTCCTTAGTTGAGATGGTTTCCCTTTGTATCAAACTATTTGCCTGATGAAGGTCTAGTACCAAAGCCTCACTAATAAAAAAAAAAAAAAAAGCATTGAACATCCTCTGACATTTTCCACACCATGGCATTTTAAAGTCACAGTTTGACTGACATCGACTGCCGTATGTGTTGTGGAGTAGCCTTGTCTGTTAAGTTAAATGGTAGAGTAACTAACAGCAAAGATCAGCGTATAACACATTCTGTAGAGAGTATTTATTTCTGTATTATTCCTGGGTGAATGGGATTTAGTCAGTCGGACATGTCTTTGCAGGTGAGAAGAATAACAGGACGGGCGAGAGCAGAGAAACCACACAGTCATTAAATCCTGTCATTAAATGTGAACTCTCTCACGTGGCTCCCACAGGGTAAAGTCAGCTTGAAGTTTTCATTCAGTTCATTCCATTAAAGTGATGTTGGTTGTTGCAGCCTGAGCGCCTGCGCGACGAGGAGATCGATCATCTGGAGCTGGAGCTGCAGAACCAGGCCCTCGGTTCTGCCCCACAGTCCACCACCATCACACAGGAGGAGTCTCCCGTCCCCAGCAACTGCTTCAAGTTTCAGAACAGAGTGCTCGGTGAGTCCCGACGATCATACTTTACACTCTTATGTGGTTTGTTCTTGGCAGGCGTTTAGCTAAAAGGAGTCGCAGCAGGAATTAAAATGGCATTGGTATTAGATTTGAGGCTTTACTTTAGCTGTTTGCTTCTGTTGAGAGGCCTTTCGTTTAACACTAGACACACAAATTCGATCATTTCTTATCCATAAGAAACTTCCTTGTTATGTACGTATAATCCACAAAATGAGCATTAGCTTGTTTTTTTTTGTTTTTTTTACGACAGTGTGTCATTATTGCATACAATCTGAAGGTTTTATTGTCTGACCTAAAACTCTTTCATGATGGTGTCTCATCTTCTGGAAGGAGTCCTTCACCTCAGATATCTGAAGGTCTTCAGACTAAAAGCAATTTGTTAAATGCAAGAAGCTATCAGACCTTTGTTGACTGACTGTTTTCTGACAGCACATGAATTTAGTGCTGTTTTTCAGCAGATTGTCTAATCCAGCCTTTTATAAACTGATGGCCAGTCTATAGGAAGGGATTAATGCCAGCAGATAATGTATTTGGTTTGCATATTTGGATTGATTTCACAGTAGGTCAACCAATTTTGAAATAAAAAAAATTAAACAATGTGGTGAGATGTGGTAGCTTTTTTTTTTTTTTTTTTTTAAAGGGACTGCTTTAAGCCTCAAGCTATGGAATAAAACAGAGCTGTCCAGCCACTGAAATAAAATACACGAGCACATATTAATTTGTTGTTGTTCTCCTGGGGTTTGTAATTTAACGTTAGTGGTTTTGAGGGAAACAGGGAAAATATGCCACCAGTGATATTTATATTTCTCAGCAGCATCGAGCAGGCAGAGACTTTGACAGGTCTGTCTTTATTAAAGACACCTGATTGCCAAGTTAAACAAATGAACAGTCTTAAAGCTGCACTTATCAGTATTTTCATTTTTACAATGACTCAGATCAGAATGTGTGATGTGGAGTGAGGAGTGGAGCAAATTGTGTTTTGGTTTTCTGGCTTCCTGTTTTAGTTCATTCTTTCACTCCAAATGATGCTAATGTATCTCTGGAACAGCTCAATGTCTAAATAGCAGCATGCTAACATGTCACAGCTTTATGTGTTATATGAAAGTTGTGTTTTCATCACCAAGTGGCCAGAAAAAAAACAGCGTTTTAATGCTTTAAAGACATTAAATCACTGAAAAAGATGCTGAGCAATAGCTGCTGTTCACAAAACAACATTGTAGGAGTAGGTTATAGAAAATCCTGTTGGTGGACGTTAAGATTAAGAGGAGTAAGATATGTTTAATGTTTACATATTCATCTGGTTGTGAAGCACAGTTTATGTAATCACAATTAATATCAGTTTGTATTAATGTTTTTGCCTTCATCCTTTATCCTGTGGCCCGCCAGAGGACCGAATGCTGACGGCGACAGATGTTCAGAGCTTTTCTAACGGAGTGGGCCGTCAGTGGAAACACGTAGGGAGGGCTCTGGGGAAGAACTGCCGCGCTCTCAAGGGTCCAGCCATAGACAACCTGGCCTATGAGTACGAGAGAGAAGGGCTGTATGAGCAAGCCTATCAGCTGCTCAGCCGCTTCATCCAGGCGGAGGGGAGGGCGGCCAAGCTGAGCCGACTGGTCAAAGCACTGGAGGACTGCAAACTCACCAGCCTGGCTGAAAATATTCTGGACATACAGCCACGAGAGTAACTCTGTGTGCAAGTCGAGAAAACTGGGGTGGACAGGTCCTCTCCGCATGAGGAGAGCTGACCGTGACCTGCCTGCTTTTGTATACAGTGTGTTTGTTCTTGATTGACATCTCACATTTAAAATCATTCCCTTGTGTGTGTGTGTGTGTGTGTGTGTGTGAGAGTGTGTGTTTTTGTGTGAGTGTGCATGTTTCACACACGTCATGTGAACGCATGCTAAGATCTGTGACAAGTGCGTGTTTCACATCTTGATTCGCCTATCAGTTATTAGTATTATTGATAATTGTTTTCATTTAGATGAAATCACTGTCATCACTGTTCAAAAAATATGCTGTCACGAGTTTTATGCACTGTTATAAACTGTTTTTTTTTTTTTCATCATGTACCTCTTATATTTCTGCTCTATAAGTCAATTTACAGATGGAACCAGTGGGTCTTGTTTCTAATGAGTGCACAACTGAAGGTTATTGATTTTTTTTTTCTACAAAATGGGTGCATGCAAATTAAATGGTTGTACAAAAAGGCTTCATGTTTGTGTTTGATGCATTAGTGTAATTAAAACTGAAAACATCATTTTGTCAAAATTCCCTCAGGTATAATTTAGTGTTAATCCTCCCTCCCTCTTGTGCCATCGCTCGCTGTCACTCACACACACGTGCACGAGCTCATATGATTGAACTGCTGATTGCTGATGCTGTCGCTGATTGTGTGTCTATGGCTGCCGGAGTCACGTTGTGCGAGTTTCGGGGCGGAGAGGAGGAGGAGGAGGAGATTGTGGCTGAGGTGTACGTGGAGGTTTTATCTGAGCTCGGCTGTCAAACGGAGGGGGATTCGCTGAGAGTCGAGCTCCTCTGATGGCTTCATTCAGGGTCCACTGTAAAAGCCCAGCCCCCCCTTTTCACTCCACTTGACCATCCATCCAGATGTGATGTGTGGATTAGAAGCTTTTATCACACACACAAACACTTATTGCTGCTATATGTTATGTCCACAACCCCCAACACTGACAGCTGTATAAGTTATTTAAATACACGTTTCTCTTTTTGTGTGTTCTGGCTACGACTACCGCTGACGAAAGTGAGGTTACGTCCTCGATAACAATTCTGGTAATTTTGTGAGTTTACGACAAAAAGAGGAGTTTGGCGTCTACGATGACAGATATATCACACATGTTGATTTCCTAAAGCTGTTATTTAACATTAAATATCTTCACGTTGTTGCATTTAGACAATTAACAGTTCGTACCCATACACCGTGGCTAAATACATTTTAATATAGCAAAGTAAGGGGCCAAAATTAAATGAATTAAATATATATATTTTTTGTTTTCTAATTTAGACATTAGTTGCCGGTTGGTTCCTTGGGTGTGTGGAGTTTTGCTGGTTGAATTTTGCATCACACTGTGTCCTGTCTGTGACCCAGGCTGTACAAGATGCTGGGTCGATGTCCTTGATTACTTTCATTACATGTTTGCTTATGGTCTGCATAAGTGCAAAGTGATTAATGCAATAATAATTTGTACACACTTAAGTCTTCCTATTTCCCCCCTCTGCTGTATTGCACGTTTTACTCATTTACATTCTTTTGACAGCGATAGTCACTCGTTAATTTGCACATTTTAAGTTTTTATGTGCAAAACTTGTCATCATTTTAAAAAAAGTATGATGCACTTTTGTTTAAATCCACCCCACCTACATCAGCTAAAACATTAGAATTACATGTACCAGTAATTAAACTCTTATAATATTAAAAAAAAAAAAATGTACCACTGACTGAGGGCCATTCTGTTGCATTGTTTGTAGTTTTTTTAAATACTTACTTGATATTGATTTGATTACCAGTGATTCCATGTAACTAAGTGCATTTATACAAATACCTTAACCCAAAACTTAATTTGTATCTCTCATTTAACACACAAATCTATGCAAAATGACAGAACCAATACTACTTCTTCTATTAACTGTCACTAATTGGATTTAATAGTTAGTTTTTTTTTTACAGTATCAAACTTGAATTTAAGGGTTCTCTTCTCTTAAATAAAAAGCACATTTGTGAAATGTCAAATACATTTGCAAATGTAATTTAAGTATTAATTCCAAAAAAATATATCAACATTTTATAATTATCACAGTTGTAAGTTTTTAATGTTATTTTACATCAGAAATTCCAAGTTTATTTTGTTTTTTTTGTAATTACTTTAATAATTTTGTAGTTTAAAAATTTTGATAAAATAAAAAGGAATAATTGGTAAAATCACTTTTTTTTATGTCAACTTTTTTTACTCTTTGATATCAGACATAGGTTATATTTCACTGCCAACATTTCAGTGACATGTCAAATGTTAGTTTTACTTGTAATAGAGTATTTTTACTCTACTTTTACTCAAAGTATTTTGTCCATCCCAGAAGGTTCCTTAAATGTTTCTGTTTTCCAGTTTTTGGTTTTGTAAAAAACAAGGTTCCTAGCAAACAGGAACCTTAAGGGAACGTTCGTGGAATTTTCCATGAAGGTTCCCTGTATGTTCTTGTTTTTGTAGAAAACAATGGCCTTCGGGGAATATTAATGGTACATTCCCTAAAGGTTCTCCAAATGTTCCTGTTTTGTTCGTGTAGAAAATAATGATCCAAGCAAACAGGCACCTTCAGCAAATGTTACTTCTAGGTTCCCTGGACGTTACTGGTTTTTGTTGGGTTTTTGTTTCTGTGGAAAACTGATCCTAGCAAACAGGAACTTATGGAACCTTAGGAGAACGTTCCCACAAGGTTCCCTTAACGTTCCTGTTTAATTTATTAATTATTTTTATTGGAGAAGACAATGATTCTCCCTGTTTTCTGTGATCGTTGTTGGTTAAATCGCTGCGACTATCCTGCTGTAATATTTGTGTAATTACATGTTCGCCAGGTAGTAGTCAGTGTCCACCACCGTGTGTGTTACAGGCCTACTCGTCGTTGACATGATTACACGTCATGCAGACCCGGGGAGTAGACGGTGACCGTGTAGTCTGGGGCGTTTTAATTGCTTTTAACGGCCAACACGTCGCGAGGCACGAGCGCCCGGTGCTCCGTTCTAACGGCTCTGTCGTTTCAATAATCTTTCATCGGACGTGATTAGAGCTCGCGGCTGCTCTGACGTCAGCCAGCTTGTCTGCGTTTAGGTGAGTCTCGCGCAGCCTCTTCTTCCTCTCGCGCCCCTCCCGCCTGCGCGAAAAGATACGATGAAACCGCTCGCGCTCGCTGTCATCATCATCATCATCACCATCACGAGCGCCGCCCTGTAGAGAGAAAGAGAGAGAGAGAGAGAGAGAGAGAGAGCTCGAGACCCCCCTCCCCACCTAACAACAACCCCAGCCCCGCAGGCTCGAGCACAACGACCCCACCCCCCAACCCCCTCTGACTGAGGGGACGGAGCGAGACGCACACAGTCGCGGAGAGACGACCGATTCGGGATCCCGGCTCTGTTTTGCCCTCAATCCGGGCCTAATGCTGTAGCAGACAGCGCGGGAGGAGAGCGAGCGAGAGACAACGCACTGACCGAGAGTCGGCGAGGGACAGGGCGGACCGGGGAGACGACGGGATTGCTCATTCGCCTGGAAACATGGGATGTACACTGAGCGCCGAGGAGCGCGCCGCTCTGGACCGGAGCAAGGCCATCGAGAAAAACCTGAAAGAGGACGGGCTGGTCGCCGCCAAGGACGTCAAGCTGCTCCTGCTCGGTAAGAGAAGAGCCTCCCCGGCCGCGGGGCTGCTGCGCCTCGGCTCGGTTTACTTGTGGTGGGACTGCATGGGGCGGAGGTGCTCTCCGTGGTACTGATTTCACTGCCGGCTCTCACTCTGCCCTCCGTTCTTTACAGGCGGCGGAGAGTCCGGCAAAAGCACCATCGTCAAACAGATGAAGTAAGTGCTCCTTTTTTGGCTCATTTTGACCCGCTCAGGCACGGGCGGAGTGAAAGGCCCGAGATTGCGCCTCCCCTATCTGTGCTAAGGCAGGTTGAGCCGCCATGTTTCGAGAGGCCGTAGCCCCGGAGGAGTGCCGGTGACTCGAGCACCTCCTGCAGACCGACAGTGAGGCTGCGGAGGCCGCACCGGTGCGTCCCAGGGTGCTGTTCACCGCCTGGGTGCTGAAATGTAGTTAACGAGGGTTTTACTCGACTACAGGGAGTGTGCGACTGGGGATGTGTGGGTGTTTTTCCTCAGTGTGTGTGTGTGTGTGTGTGCATTTGTGTGTATGTGTGTGTGTGTGTGTGTGTGCATTTGTGTGTGTGTGTGTGTGTGTGAATTACAGTGAGGTCACTACAGCTCCATTAGTGAATACCTCTGCTTTTAATCTTAATGGCTTTAAGTGCCCGATATCGCCGGGAGTACTTTGCCTATAAAGCGGATTTACGCAGAAATATGGCTTCTAAAACCGCATCTAAACCTTCCCCTGTCTAAGCCAAATCACTCTTTGATGTTTTAAATCACTGTTGTTGTTTCCTCTAAAAGCTCTTAGTTAAGTTTCTAGATGTTTCGGTGCGGAAAAGAAACGCTCCTTTGTATATTTCCTCCTGTGCAACATCTCTCTCCCAGTGTTTGTGGGGAGCAGCGCCGTGTGTCTCCTTCCTGCACTGCACTGACTGCACCCTCCCTCCATGCCCTGCTTCCTCCTCTTCCCTTCACCTCATTACCCAGCCTGGTCTCTGGTCGCCCATAACTCACTCCTCTGCCCTGAACTCAAGACACTGGGCCAAAGAGTGTTTGCAAACACTCTCAGGGCTTGCTTGAGCCTAAGCCAGCAGCAGATGGGTGGGTTTTACTACACATAGTGGGTCATAAAGTGAAGGTGTTGTACATGTCTCTGTTCATCATCATCATCATCATCATCATCCTCATCATCATCATCCCATACACAGTGCAGGTTAGTGTGACCACCCAGGGTCTCTTTTCTGGTTTGATCAATGAGAGTGAAACTACACCTGATGCAGTTTCACTCTCACTGCATTGTAAAAAAAAAGAAAAAAAAAAAAAGAAGAGGGAGTGGGACTAAAAGGCCACAAACAATGTTGACAGGAACAATTTTAACATCCTGAAAATAGGCCGGAGACGTCACCTGCAGTGATGGAGGAGTAATGATGTGCACAGTGCTATGGATTATATGAATAAACAAGGAGCAGCTTCATTGATAGGTGTTGTCGTACTAACCGTGCGAGTCAGCTGCAGCTGCAGAAATGTCACTGATGTCTATTTTTATACTTTTTCCGTTTTCAGACTGTGATTGGCCAGTTAAGTTTTCATTATTAACGCATGTAGCTGAAACCGCAACGATTAACCCGTTACATTTACAAGCTTGGTAATAATTTAAAAATCCTTTTTAAAGCAAATATTCACTTTTTCTGACGTCAGTTATCAATGAATCCAGAATATAGTCTCTAAATCAATTGAAAATAACAGCAATTGTCGGCTACAACCTTAACATTACTTAAACATCAATGGCTTATTCATTCATCCCACTTCACTATTAGCATTTTGCATCCACTGAATAAACAAAATCTAAAATAAAATCACCTCTTTTCCTAGAAGATGTTCAGTGGAGGTGATGAAACATGCACCTGGCGTAAACAAAAGTCACAGTTGTTGATCAGCAGGTTGATGGACAGAAGGCCATGTTTTGTGTTCTTTCTGTACTTGTGGTGTACGACAGCAAACTGCATATTCTCCACTGTTTTCTGATATTTATTAGGCAAAGCAAATGTAATCATTAGTTGCAGTCTTCAAATGTTTAATGGCCTTTGCTGTGTGAAACTGCTCCTCTACTCCTTTTTCCCTGAAGGTTAATGTTTTATTTCATAACATTTTTATGATGGCGGCGGAGATTCAGGCCAGGGGGCTGATCTCTGCAATAAAACATTGATTCACGATGCGAACAGATGAGACGAATATATAAAAACAATCATCCGTTATTTATTCCCCCCCCCCCTCCGTCGTATATCAATCACCCGATCGCAGAGGAGGAGGACGCGGAACCCCCCCCCCCCCCCCCCCATCGTATATCAATCACCCGATCGCAGAGGAGGAGGACGCGGAAGCTGCTTTGAAAGTTTAGATGTGGATTACTGGTCAGTTTTCAGGTTATAGGTTCAGTCAGGGTGAGAATGTGCCGATGGATAATTTAATGCTGAACAGATTATAAGGAATTTAACTGTGTCGAGTCCTGTGTAGTAGTGATTGATTAGTGCTCTGCCTCATTCCACTCCATCGCTCAGCATAAATTATTAATGGCTTAAATATCACATTACTGCCCAATTACAGATCACAGACTGAGGATGTGATCAATTTCTGCCCCATTATACACACACACACACACACGCACACACACACACACACACGCACACACACACACGCACACACACACATGCACACACCCACACTTAGAGATGGATTTAAGGTAGAGATGGTAGGAATAAGTGAGAGAGGACAATGCGATTTATGGTTTTGATTTAATACCAAAAAGACAGAAATCCCCCTCGAACACACACACACACAGAAAAATCCAGAACATGTGGAGCTTTTATTGTGAAAAGACAGTTATTTAGGACCATATGGACGTGTGCGACTTTTTTCTGTTTAGTCCAGGCTTGTGTTTCTCTGATAATGTCTCTGTACGCATGCAGGATTATCCATGAAGATGGCTTTTCTGGGGATGATGTGAAGCAGTATAAGCCTGTGGTCTACAGCAACACCATCCAGAGCTTGGCAGCCATTCTTCGAGCCATGGACTCACTGGGCATCGAGTTTGGAGACAAAGACCGAAAAGTTAGTGTTACTCTCCAGATGTGATAGCGCTAAGGCAGGTCTGCACTGATAGAAATCGCAGCGTCTGTTTGGTTCATGACGTCTAGTTGACGTCCCTCAGGGGATTGGATTGTAGTAAATTTGTTTTAAGAAATCAGTTTGTAGTGTCCACTGAAGGAAATCATTGAGTATAATGGTTTAACATAGTTTAAAATGCCACCATACGCCTAAGTAGAAGATAAATAAAGTCTACAGATACAATCTTACTGCTCTCGCCCTGATCCTATGAAATGTGCTCGTCCAGGCCGATGCGAAGCTGGTTTGTGATGTGGTCAGTCGTATGGAGGACACAGAGCCGTACTCTGCAGAGCTCCTCACTGCTATGAAGCGTGTATGGGCCGATGCTGGGACTCAGGAGTGCTTCAACCGCGCCCGGGAATACCAGCTCAACGACTCTGCTCAATAGTGAGTAGAGCAAAAACACGAGAAAGGGCCGCGTTTTCCAAAAAAACACCACCGTTCTAATCCACAGCCTTCCTCCCTGTTGTCATCAGCTACCTGGACAGTTTAGACCGGATCGGGGCGGCCGACTACCAGCCCACAGAGCAGGACATCCTGAGAACCCGAGTGAAGACCACTGGAATCGTCGAAACCCACTTCACCTTCAAAAACCTCCATTTCAGGTAGCGCGTCGCTGCAGCTCGGGATGACGCGGTCTCTCTAAGAGGTGGTTCAGGTTCTGAATTAACATCTTGCCAACCTTTTCCAGGCTGTTTGACGTGGGAGGGCAGAGGTCAGAGAGGAAGAAGTGGATCCACTGCTTTGAAGATGTGACGGCCATTATCTTCTGTGTTGCTCTGAGTGGCTACGACCAAGTGCTCCATGAAGATGAAACAACTGTAAGTGTGTCTGAGTTGAATCAGTGTGAATGTCTCTGGTGCACAGTTCATGGCGGAAACAACTCCCTAAACAAACAAAGCTAACAAACATAAAACCAATATTTATAGACTGATGAAATTGTCCAACCACATTTGCGATTTATCCATCCCAAACTGTTATTTATATACAACCTGTACAACATTCTCTATCCTACAAGCATAAACTGTAAAATTATTAATCAATATTCAATATATTTTGTACACATATTTTATGTTGACCAAAGAGCCTGAGGCTGGCTTAAAAGAAAAAATATTTTTTATCATAAAATGTTTATCTGTTCTGTTCATTGCTGGTATTAAGTAAAAATAAAATCTTTGGAAGATAAAGCCATGCAATCATAGTTGTTTCCTCTAGAAACCACTTTAAACTGGGTGTTGTTGACAAAAGGATTTATAGTTCATATTACACTGGTGCTCCTCTCCCGGCGCTCTCCTCACTGTAACACTAACCTCATTGTTTGTTTTTTATTTTTTATTTTTATTCCTCCTGCAGAACCGCATGCATGAATCACTCATGCTCTTCGACTCCATCTGTAACAACAAGTTCTTCATCGACACCTCCATCATTCTCTTCCTCAACAAGAAGGATCTGTTCGCTGAGAAGATCAAGAAGTCACCGCTGACGATCTGTTTTCCAGAATACACAGGTGAGCCCCGCACCTTCACGCTCCATCGGCTTCCTAAAAGCAAAGTGACGAGTCTTTCATGCTCTCTGGGTCTCTCTCTCTCTGTTTCTCCACCAGGTGCTAATACTTACGACGATGCTACTGCATATATTCAGGTTCAGTTTGAGAGTAAGAACCGCTCTCCCAACAAGGAGATCTACTGTCACCTGACCTGTGCCACAGACACAGGAAACATCCAGGTAGTGTTTGATGCCGTCACTGACATCATTATTGCAAACAACCTTAGAGGGTGTGGCTTATACTGAGGCCTGGCCAAGCACAGAGGTTGTCATGGAGTGTATGAGGTGTTAATAATGATAATTTTGATGATACTTAAACACATAAATATGTAATTCTACACGTCCAAATGGACCCAAAGAGCTGCCGTCAGACACCACACTGGATTATTGCCATGATTTGTTCCCTTTCCTCTTATTTTAAGTATACAACCCCCGTTTTGTCTTTAAAAAAAAAAAAAAAAAGTGTTTTTGAGCTGAATGTTTCATGTTTTGTTGATAAGTGTGTCAACAACTGGTAAGGTCAGAAGCACCAGGGGTTTATTCGGCCTTGCGTTGCGAAACTCTTGACTACCCAGAAATGTAATGCGAAGAGCGTCGTTCACAAACACAACGTGGAATATTGTCCCGTTCTTAGTGGCATTTTTATGTGCAAGTCTCGAGGCGTTTATATCCGTACTGAATACAGCCTCTGGTGCTCCGTTTGAAGAGCTGCAGTGTGTAAGAAGGTGGAGATGATGTCGGGGAGGTGCCGCGCTCATGGCTGAGAGTCATGGATGGAAAGAAGGAGGCTATTTTAACTTTCCTTCAGACCCACACATGACTGAGTAGCCTGCAGGTCTGTTCCACTCTCGGTTTTCTCTTTTACTCAAAAACATAATGAAAGAGAGGACTGTTCTGTTCAGAGTGGCCGCCCAACGCCATTGGCCTCCTGTAGCGTGAGGAAATACCTATCAGCCAATGATATCTCAAAATAAAATAAAATGGAAAAAAAAAAAAACATATCGGTGCCAACCATCTGAGAACGACAGATAGGGGAATAGGATCAGAAATCATAGCTCATACTATCGACTATATTATTTAAGTTAACAGATTTTATTATCATCGAATGATTTATTTATTTAAGCCTCATGCCCTACATGCCTCCTCCTACCTCCTGAAATCCCGTGCCACATATTTATTTCCTGTCATGAAACACTGGGGTGCGTTGGTACCCGTCGTCTACGGTTCAGAGGGTGGAAAGCAGCCCTCCAATGACATCTTGTTCTCTGTGTGGTGCTTTGACCCTTCGATGTGAATCTGTGTAGAAATAGAAGACTGCACGAGGAGAACAATATCATTTGAGGCAGCCTCTGTCTGGGGAGTCCAGGTTTTTTTATAAACCCTCTTCTCCCCTGATCAGTGAACAGGGAACCATTATCTCCCCCTCCCCACCCCTTCTCCCTCACCCTCCCTCCCTCCCTGCCTCCCGTCTGTCACGTTTCTCTTTTCACAGAGGAAAAAGTACAGCTCTCCATTTTCACCTGTGCACCCAGAAATTCATCCTCCCATCCCTGTATACTCTTTACCTTTCACATATCAGTCCTCATATCCTATCTCCATTTCCACCTTAAAAAAGCACCGTACTGTATATATATATTATGATTATACCAGATTTTTTTTTTTACTGTGAATGTTTTTGTGCTGCACCCCATCCTATTCAGTAGTTTATTGGTTGCTCTCATGTGGAATGTTTGTGCTGAGCCAATCGAATGTTGTGTTTACATTAAAGCCACACTTTTCCTAACTACTCCTGCGTCCGTGGTCTGAGTCTTGATTGCGAGGTAGCCGGTGACACGCTGCACGATGGCAGCGCCGTTTTCCCCCTCCGCAAAAATGCTTTAACACACACTGACCTGCTTTAATCTGTGCAGAGAATTAAGGTTAGACCAGGAAATTAGGCTGAACATTATGAGAGTGGACCACTTTTAATGCTTCATTGCCTGGTGAACACAGCTTTGTATTTAGTGTGAGAAATACGTATAAAAGATTGGGAGCAGGTCTAGCATGGCAATAGGGCAGCACTTGGTGAAATGTGGCGGATGGCAGGGATCAGAGGCGTCGCACAGCAGCTCTCAATTTATTAGGTTAAAAGTGTTCCATCATCACAGACAAGGAGCTATTCATATATTGAATGACTAGGCTGGATCAGCTGTCTGACCTGCTTCTGTCTGTTTAATGGGTACGATGTTCATTACTGCTCTGTTTCACTGACAGCCACAGAGCTCCACTGCTCGGTCCCAGTGTGTCCTCGTTTCTCACAGCCAGTTACAGGTTAAAAGATTGGAACTCCCACCGTGATACAATTACAGACCTACACTTTTAATTAAACATTTCATATTCTCATAGCTTACAGTCAATTAACATGAAACAGTTCCATCATTCCTGGAAGTTACCTACAAAACCCACGTTCCTAAACGCTCTGCCGATACAGACGTCTGCCAGGTGAGGAGCAGACATTTTCTGGAAGAACAAGCAGCACTTTTTCCTCCCTGTGTCCCGCCCATGTTTGTGTACAAAAAACATGGATGAAGTCTGGATTGTTGGTGGAAAACATCACAAGGTGGGTCCTGCACGGCCATCACTGATAACCAGCGCAACGCTTCTTGAGTTACAGTCGCAACCTCTTGATGTCTTCACTTCTGAAGTCGATTCGCAGCGCGAGAACCTGACGCACCTCGGCCGGAGTCAGCCGCCACGTCAACGGGCCTGAGTTAGGACCCCAGTAGTCCAAGATCTCAGTTACCTGCAGTACAAACAGGCAGTAGAGTAAGTGTCTAATGCGTAATTAGTCTTCCTTTATTTGTGGTACTCCTAGTCAGCTACAGCTTCGTGGTTAGCCTCCATAGAACAGTCAGCCACTTCTGACTGCTGGTCAGAGTGATGCCAAGTTAAATAAAGGAGCTGGGATTTTTGGGTTCTAAAAACATTCTGAGAAGGTTCTGCAAAGTTCAGCAGGAAGCTTTTTTTAATCCTCCAGAATATTCCCATTAAATAGAATAAGGTTCTCTAAAGAAACTCTATGTT